TCCTGCTTCGAGGCTACTTCGCATGGTGTATAGGTCAAGAGTTTCATATCTGGGTTTAGAGTTATGGATTCCATTTCTAGGCCATTAAGAATTTATTGCGACAATTCAGCTGCTGTCTTTATGGCTAAGAACAACAAAAGTGGTAGTCGAAGTAATATTACGACAATTCAGCTGTTGTTTTTATGGCCAAGAACAACAATAGTGGGAGTCGAAATAAACACATCGGCATTAAGTATTTAGCCATAAGAGAACATCTTAAAGAAAAGAAAGTGGTCATTGAGCACGTAAGCACCGAATTGATGATCGCTGATCCGTTGACTAAGAGCATGCCACCACTGAAATTCAAGGATCATGTAGAAAAATGGGACTTTGTTCAACTATGTAATGGTATATACAATTTTTATACGAAACTCTTATCTATTTTGATATTTTCTCATATTTATGCCGCCTTAATTTGTTTGAGAAAATACATTTATGTCGGACCAAGAATAAGATATAAGATTTTTTTCATTAAGTATTGTTACCACGTAACGAATATTTGAGGAACTAAACACATTGTAATACATGAAAGATACTACTCGTTATCAGATAACTCATCGCCATGATTCATGTATTTGTTTCTTAAAAATGACAATCGATGGAATTGAGTTGAAACATTAGGCTGAATGAAATGACCAAGTGGGAGAATGTAAGTCTCTTCACATTCCCGTTGAAATCTCTTCACATTCTCGTTGAAGTCTCTTCACATTCCTTCAACGGTCATATTGATGGCCAACATTCATAGGGTAGTTTCAACATTGATGGAATTCAATTTTACCATCAATTGATTGGTAACTAAAGTCATAACTTGATGGGAGTTTTGGCTATATATATAGAGATTTTGGTCCCCAAGCTCAACCACCGAAAATACAAGATACACCATCTATTGAGAGTTTTGAAAGTTTGGAAGTTCCATTACCAGTGGAAAAATGAGAGCTTTTGCAACATCATCAATGGCCGAGGTATAAACCGATCCCTATGGTATTTTGATTTTTCGATCAAATTCATTTCCGCATAATTACTCTGAATCGATTTTTATCTAACATTCAAAAACTGGTAACAACACTTTTTTTTGGTAAATATCGAGAATGTTAGCGTTTTACAAGCAGATTTTCCCTTGTCTGGCTTGTGCATGTTTTTAACTCATTTTTTGTAAATAAAATATTTTTGTTATAGATACATTAGATACAAAGGATACTCAGCTTTGACCCTAATTTTTTTCAAAACTCATTTTTAACAATAGATTCTCCAAATAAAAGAATTTTACATGTGGACCCAATAATTTTTCCCTCATTTTTAACCAAACATTTTATTTATAAAATATCGGTGAAAATTAATGAATTTATAAGATTCATTTATGACATTTTCCATGACTATAATTGATTCGAAGAAGTAAAAATTTTATTCGTTATACCGTATAAATACTATTAAATATGAAGGTGAAATTAATGTGAACGTGTCTCGCTGCAATGCAAACACGGCCCTACAGGGATTGGGTCACTTTCTTTTTGTTGGGTGAGTGGGGGTTCAACCGTGTGGGACTGTTTTAATCACGATTCAAAAATTCTTTTGATTTTGTTCTAGGTCAAGCGTAGACCATTCAAAATTCTCAATTTATTCAAGAAGTTGTTACAATGATTGTTTACTGTCTCAAAATAAGGTTGTTCATTGTTGGGTGGAAACGTTGGTTGGTGAGAAATATGGACGGAATTAAAGTTAAAAAGGTAAAATAATTAATCCTTTTTTAGTTTAGATAAAAATTAAATTTTCGGTAGATATTGATAAAGCTGGTGTGTTGGGATTGACTGCGACAATATCAATAAAGACTCAAATTTCAAATTGTAATAAAACGACAAAAAATATGCAATCAAGCACAAATTTAATCATGGATGTCTTTTTCCCACATGAAGGTAGCATTTGTGTTTGTTTTGATCTTGGATAGAATTCGTTCTATCAATCAGCTCGTTGATAAAAGGCATAGAGATTGTCGAAAGCTCCTATGCTTCGATCCGTGGTCAAATTATATCCACGTGAGAGATGGGGAAGCGGACTTTGATAGTTGACAAGCTCGAGCTATACCTTATACCATAGAATTCGGCTTCCTCATTCACGGAAAGGCACAATTGTCCAATTCTAAATCCCATTTTGCCACCATTCCCAACTATCACCATCACCCCGTGAGGCTAGTGTCGCTTTCGATTCACGTAAATTCATTGCTCATTTCGCCGGTCAAAGGCATGATAAAGCCCTTAACAAGTTGGTAACATAACCAAAATATAACGAACAGTAAATCTTAGAATCGAGATTCGACCAATAATTAGAGAAATAAGCAAGTTGCGTGGAAACATGAATATGAGTTGAAGAAAAAGTTAAAAGAAAGAAATAAAATACTTTTTTTCTCTGAAATCATCAATCTCCTCACTAGCTTTTCTATCTTAACCATTAACTTTTTCAACCACGTGAACTAAGACTTCTATTTAAAAAAAATTTAGTTGTTGTATTCTAAATGCAAAACTCTTCCCCACTTCACTATCTTTTGAAGAAAAGTTTGCTTTTATATCTAACGACTTCATCCAACAATATGAAAATTTATTGATTTTTATTACTGTCCGTAGAGTTAAATCATTTTTAATATCCTCGAAACTCGCATAGATGCAATTTTTGTCATTAGATGAATTTTTCATATTCCCTTTTTTAAAAGAAACGCCCCTAAAATAAATCCGTTGATCAAACTACTAGTACACACAAAGTGTATACCTTGATTGACACCCCTCTACGTGTCAAAAATCTGACAGTTAATTAAAAAAAGCATTGTCACAAGATCAATACACCAAAATTTACCAATTCATATGAGTGTAAACCAATGCGATAGCCTTTATGTATATGTAGTATGGTCCTAATAATTATCAAATCAAACTCTAAATAGGGATTGCAACATTTTCGCTCATAGCCGGCCCTGGTTTAACCGAACGGGATACCCTACCTACTTGGGAAAGCAGAGTATCCTATTTCTTTTATTTTACGATTTTTAAATTGAATTCATAAAATAATAATAATAATAATGGGAATATTTTAATCCCTACATCTCCTCCCGAAATTTCATACGAAAACCTCTCTCTATTTCGCAATCAAATAAAAAGAATAAAGATTCAGATCTTACTTTACATCCATTTTTTAATTCATCTCTTTGTCTATTTGAAATCAGTTATTGGTCAATTAAAAAAAGAAGACTTATCTTGTAATGATGTCTAAATAGCGACTTTTTCCATTCAAAATAATTTTAATCAATAGATACCTTTTTCCATAGCGGGAGAAAGAGAAGGCCGTCGTGTTGCCATCCCTACCTCTGAATAGCAAAATCAATCTGTACACAACATAATTCACCAAAATATGGCTAATTATCCAGAAAGAGAAAAAAACTTTCATTACTTACAATAATTCAAAACTAGCATCTTAAATATTTTGTATAAATCAACTTGGAAAATAGAATATACTTTTGCTGACATATTTTGTCTTTTTAGGATATCCATTTGGCCACTAATCTATTTTTAATTATAAAGCTTAAAACTCATCAAAAAAGAATCTTTAATGAAAAATGTATATCATTAGAATAATGCTACTTGCAGTCGTCCTATGTGACACACACATATTAAGTGTGTATTTAATGTATTAAATGTGGTAAAAAACTATCAC